ACCAACGGCCAACGGCTAACCTCGAGAGCTGACTCCAAACCCGGCAGCAAATGACTTTGGTTTTCGCTCTCCCCCCACCAGACCTAATTACAATTCAACTCCCAAGTTGTCGTCCTCGCACACGTGCGCATCACTCTCACTCCTGGATTCAGCATATGGATGAGAGCACCCGTTCCCCTCTCCCCCTTCTCCTCAAAACACACACGGGTACTCCCTCCTCCTCACACCTACCTTCCGGAAAAATGTTCTCCTTTGGAGGCCTTTCCTCACCTCCTCCTCACCCTTTCCACCTGCATTCCCTCCTCCTGCTCCTGCTCCCTCCTCCTCCTGCTCCCTCCTCGTCCTCCTGCTGCTGCTTGTCCTCTTGCTTCCCCCCTGCCTATGATTCGCGTCTTTCCCCCTGCCTAAACATCCCATCCGTGTGCACACAGACTCACTCCTCCATGCGCCTGAGCGCCTGAGTCACCTCGATGCGCCGTGACGCAACAAGCGATGTTCCCCACTTGCTTCCGACATAACATATAAATATTGTAAGGACACAATGGCCCCGTCAGATAAGGTTTGATAGATATACATACATACATACATACATACATACATACACACATACAGAAGCGTGCACATACACGTACATGCGCATGCTGAGTAAGAGTCATTATCCTGGAGATTTAGGATCTCGTGTACCCAATTTCACTTGCTGCCATGACACACACACACACACACAAACACACACAAACACACACAAACACACACAAACACACACAAACACACACAAACACACACAAACACACACAAACACACACAAACACACACAAACACACACAAACACACACAAACACACACAAACACACACAAACACACACAAACACACACAAACACACACAAACACACACAAACACACACAAACACACACAAACACACACAAACACACACAAACACACACAAACACACACAAACACACACAAACACACACAAACACACACAAACACACACAAACACACACAAACACACACAAACACACACAAACACACACAAACACACACAAACACACACAAACACACACAAACACACACAAACACACACAAACACACACAAACACACACAAACACCATATTCCTTGTTTTCTCTT